AGACCAGGTATCTCATGCTTGAAATACCAAGGCTAGCAGAAGGCCTTCTTTGAAGTTACATATAATATTATTATTTATTCCAAGATTCAAAAAATGAATAAGCAATAACCAGATTTAAAATTATTGATAACATTTTAGAATTTTGGAATAATTGGAGACAGTACAATACACCATAAGGTTTTCAGCATGTCTAAAGGCATTAAAAAATTGAAGATGCTTTTAAAATGTCAAAACAACTTATAAGTCTTTCATGAATATCCATTTTTATGTAAAATATTTCAAAAAGAACTTATAAAAATTTCATGAATATGAAATTATAATTCAATAGAGGTTAACCATTATTACTTATCTTTACTAGGGATTAGAAATGTTCAGTAGCCCTGCTCAAAGTACCAGCAGTTGCATACAAGAGTAGATGTACAGCCTCTAATCACTTAGACACCATTAAAGCATTAGGTCACACGCCCTTCACAAAAAATTGTTAGAATGCCAAAGAAAGTAATCAAATTAAACCTGCAACATTAAATTAGAGTAAAGTTATTGGTAGCATATATTTTTTCACACATAAAGTACGGTGAAGTATAGTTTCAAGTGCAAATGCTTGACTTGACCAAAAACAGATTTCAAATATATATATATATATATATATATATATATATGTATATATATACATATATATATATATATATATACATATATATATATACATATATACATATATATATATATACATATATACATATATATATATATACATATATACATATATATATATATATATACATATATATATATATATACATATATATATATATATATATATATATAACGGCTTTTTATATTAACACTGGACTTAATTTAAAAGAGAATAAAGTGACTATTCAAAAAGATATACAAACATATTTAAACAATTCATCATTTTATTTACATAAATGTATGCTCTAATAAGGTTTGAAGTGCAAATGCTTCATTTTAAATATCAAGATACATTTGATGTGTTGATCAAATAAAGTGGTTCATATATAAAAAAAGACCTAGAAATACAGTTTCATAAATTAAAAGACTTTGAAAGAGGAAATTAAAAAGTATTTTGAAATACAGTTTGTATTATGATGATCAGATTATAATTGAAGAAAAGAGATTTGAATACCTTCTTTTAAGCTCACAAATTTAAAAGAGGAAATTAAAAAGTATTTTAAAAATTTAGAAGTTGCACTTCAAAATTTTGAGCACATTTATTTCGCCTTTAGATGGAAGACCAGATATCTCATGCTTGAAATACCAAGGCTAGCAGAAGGCCTTCTTTGAAGTTACATATAATATTATTATTTATTCCAAGATTCAAAAAATGAATAAGCAATCACCAGATTTAAAATAATTGATAACATTTTAGAATTTTGGAATAATTGGAGACAGTACAATACACCATAAGGTTTTCAGAATGTCTAAAGGCATTTAAAAATTGAAGATGCTTTTAAAATGTCAAAACAACTTATAAGTCTTTCATGAATATCCATTTTTTATGTAAAAGGCATATATTTTGATAGAAGCAATTTTCGGAAGCATTAATGTTGTGTTCACCATCATTACTCATCCATACTAGGACGGTTTGTAGGTCTGCTGAAAGTACAGAGCTGTTCAATGTCATCATCAGTCAATGAGACTATGGATTACAACTGCTCAGTAGGTCTGCTGAAAGTACACATCAGTTCCATACACGAGTACATATACAGCCTCTAACCAATTGCAAACCATTCAGGAAGACATTTATGAGCTCAACCACAAAATCTTACCGGTGTATTTTTGAGAAGTTTTGAAGAGTCGGGTGAGACCAGTCTTATTTATTCTCTTACCCAAGGTTAGTACTCAATACATTAAAAATCCCAGTGATTATATAAATTCACATATGCAGATTTAATAAAAATATGATGCCAAGTACAAAAATGCCAGTGATTATCTAAACTCCTTTATGCAAAACAAAAAATTGCAGTAACCTATATGTAAACGTGGCTACTTAAGATGAGATGTTGTTCATGTTCTGCATGTTCTACTCCAAAATGTTATGCATGTGGAATGCATTCTGGGGGCTTTTTGTTGGAAGCATGCTATTGGTGTAATTCAAATTTTAGTCACTTTTTCTGCATGAAGATTGTAAACAACAAAAGGTCTACTGGGAACTACATATGCAAAGAATGTGCAGATTGGTTATATGCATGTCCTATCCCTAGGAAATCTGGTCGTATTGTGCAATTGAACCGGAAGTATTTCAATCAAAACATGATTGTGGGCATGTCATTTAAGTGGATGAATTAGGTTAACTGCAGTACTCATTTCATACCAATGAAATATGAGTACTGAGTGTATCAGTACATATGTATTCCAAGTGAAATGCTTAGTATTTAGAAAAATTTCTCGAGAATACATGTTAAGACATGTATTCACAAAAAGGAGTGTAATGTAGTTTTGGAAATGGTACTATCAATGCCAAATGTATGAAATGAGTATGGTATAATCTACTTTTATTGGCACTACAGAAATGAAATATCAGTATGAATGCTGCATGGATATGTATATTCCAAGTCTTTTTTATTTGAAAAGGGATTTATATGAAGCATGTCATGTGAGCAGATGTATGTTCAAAAATTAGTGTAATATAATTTTCGAAAAGGTAGTATGAATCCAAATTGATGCTTCACATATGCTCATGCTTCAAGAAACGAGTATCCAGAAACAACTGCTCACCCCAACGAACTGACAGACCACACAGTTCCGAAGGCCACTATGGTGGCTGGCAGGGTATCTGATAGTCGTTGGGCATGATTCTTAATAACCCGGAAGAAGCTGTGACACTGTTTCATGCAGCTATATAAATGAAGAGGATCACAAAAACAACAACATTGAATGGTAAACAGGGTCTTCAAGATTTGACCAATAAAGGTACTTATAAATTATATAAGTTATCTTCATGTATTCAACTGTTATTCATATACTACGTATATGTTTGGGAGAGCCTATAATATACATAGTATATAGTATTAATTGGCAAAAATAAGTGTAAAATATAACAAAATAAATAATTTTTGAAAAACCGAGAAAGATAAGTTTCAATTTTTTCACATTATACAATTATTACATTCCATATTTATTAAACATGTATAATGACATTCCAAAAATTTAAACATATAATATATATAATATATATAATAATTTTGATAAAATACGCATATATTATAAAATATTATATAATATTATATAATATATACAATGTTTGATCAAAAAATTGTTCAAAAATACTAAAAAATAAATATTTTCAATGATATTTACAATCTCGACCTGAATATACCAAACTCAGATTCACAAAGATGTTCTAACAGACCTCATAATGTTTGTTGTATAACACCACAAATTAAAATATAAGATTCACAGATTGTTCCACCCAACTAAATCTGCCTTGATATAAAATCGTAGAATTTTTTTCATAAATCTCAAAGTCAAGTCAGATCCAAAATCTTTGAATAAATCATACATGGTCCCAATTTTTTTAACAAATCTAAATAGTATTACGTTACAGATTAAGGTATGAGAACTATCAGAAAAAAACATAAAGTATTAGAATAGATGTACCAGAGGTCGTTTGAGCTAACGAGGACGGTGAAGAGGCTAATGTTTGTTGAGATGAACGACAACAAAGTAAATAAAGACGAAGATGGTGGTAGATATGGTGGTAGATGAAACATTAACGGCAAAGAGACCATCGGAAGAACCGATAGTCTATCTATGCGGCCGCTGTATAATGCTATGAAACGAAGGGTAATGAGGGTTTGTAATGGGTAAGGGGTATATATAATTTGGGCTGGGTTATTAGGTTGTTGGGTAGGGTTACTTTCAGATGCTGGGCTAACATTAATGGGCCAGGTCTGGAACAATTTTAAGTAGTAGTAATATAAATTTGGAATTTTATCAATTCAGGACCCGAAAGATAGATTAATTATCAATTCGGGACCTCAAAGATAAAATGCATCGATATAGGACCCGAATGATGAAAAACTATCAATTTAGGACCTGAATGATTGAAAACTATTAATCTAGGACCTAAGTTGTCATAATTTTTTTTATTAAAAAATTATAAATATTATTTCGTTTTATTAAAGTAATAAACTTTTGTGAAGAAAACTTTATCAAAAATTAGTAATGGAATTAATAAAAAATTAAATAAATCAAAACCTATGAAACATTAGGTCCTAAATTGATAGTTTTCCATCATTTGGGTCCTATATTGATACGTTTAATCTTTCGGGTCCTGAATTGATAATTAATGTATCTTTCGAGTCCTGAATTGATAAAATTCCTATAAATTTTTATAAATATTGTTATTTATATTGTTATACAAATGTTAAAAAAAAGTCTATTATTATTGATAACTTTTATATATACGTGCTTAATTAAGATATTTTTTTGTAATGTGGCACGTATTATATATTTCTTTAAACAGAAAATTGTGACTCAAGTGACACGAAACATCTACGGCGCAGTGAAGAGACAAGACGATGCAATGTGTTACAAGAAACCAATTATGGTAAAAAAAAATCTTATTATATTGTTGTAGTTTATTGTTAATTGTATAATTGTTAACATTATAGTAATGGCGTGCAAAAAAGTTAAATAAAGATTACAAAATGTTAAATACAGATAAAAAAGCATGCTATTGTAACGCATAAATGAATTTTGGGGGGAAAACAAGGATATATTGTAATAAATCGTTACAAAAACCATGTATGATTTAGATGTTCCAGTACATATATACGAATATATATATTATAATGGAATAACTAAGTTACAATTTTTTTAATATTATAATGTATTATAATATTATTATATTATAATACATTACAATAATTAGAAGAAGAAATGGTTATCCAAAGTGAAATCCTTGCTGGGAGTGCCCACAAGAAAATGAGCTTCAGAGAACAAGAGGAAGTAGAAGTGTCTTACAACTGCAATGAAGACTCTTCATCCATGCAAATGGTGAGGCCTGCTGCTAACCCATGCTGCATCTCCGCCCCTCCTGTCCCTGAAAAACACCACGGCGGCCTCCACCACCTTTTCGGTAGAAAACACCATGAAAGCCACCACCTTGGCCGCCATGGTAACGGCGGCGGCCGTGTAAATGAGGTTGTGCAGCTGCAAGAAGAGAAAGTGGAGGTGTCTTCTAATGAGAAGAAGTTGGTGAGTGGAAGGCATGGCGGCGGATATGTAAGTGATGAGACTCACTTTGTGATGGAATCTGAGTTCAAGGGTTTGGAAGATTGAAGATCCTAAGCTTTAATTGATGCACGACCGACCCTTTCTGCATGCATGTATTATATAAATAATTTAAATGTGTGGTAAAATAAGGGGGGCATGATAGTATTTTTATGATATATATGATGTGAAATAAGTATCAGAAGTTACATATATGAAAGTGTTTGGTTATTTACTTAATTGCTTCATGATTATCTTTAATGTACGTGTGGTAAATTCCTTCTTTTCTTATTTATATATGCCATTCTTAATAAAAGAAAAGTTACTTGAATTGCATATAGCTAGCCACAAAATATCATTTTTTTATATAGGATTGGAATTGAAAAACTCGTAAGACCGAAAATACATAATTAACTCAACTGTAATATTCTTAATTGATTATAACTAAAAAGTGATAATTAATGCTTAAAATGATCCTTACTTTGAAGAGTCTTCATTGCAGTTGTAAGACACTTCTACTTCCTCTTGTTCTCTGAAGCTCATTTTCTTGTGGGCACTCCCAGCAAGGATTTCACTTTGGATAACCATTTCTTCTTCTATGGAATAACTAACATTGTGATAATATTATGATTAACATTTCACAATGGAATAACTAACATTGTGATTATAATAATTACTACATAAAACTTACATAAATATATAATAAAGACATCGCATATAAATTACTAATCATTACAATTATAATTATTATAATGAAGAAATAAAAATATAATAACGAGATTCAATATCATTTACTAATCACATTATAGTCATTGTTATATAATTTTAATTGAGAAATGTTTAATTGCAGTTTCGTTGTTGCCGTTTAATCGGTTTCCAACTACAAGGCCATCTCCCAAAAAGTCTGTATTCGAAACCTCAAGCGTTGACGTAGTTCACCAACAACCATTTAATAATAATGTTGCTACACAGCAACAAAAAACACTACCTGAAGACATGCACGAGGATGAAGGTGTGTAACTTTTATGTGGTACAAAGTTCAATTAATCTTAAAGTAAATGAAACTATATTTTGAATTTGTTTACTTACAATAACACTGTGTTTGTATTATTTTTTGTCATTTTGAAATAGATACAATCAATGACGAATATTGGAGCATTGGTGATCCATCATACAATTGTGCATATTGTGGAGCATTGTTTTGGTATGAAGAGAGGATTGCTCGGAATTCTTCAAAGAAAAATCCAAAGTATTCTTTGTGTTGCACGCATGGCAAAATAAAATTGCCACAATTACAGGACCCCCCTTTGGAATTACAACAACTCATTTTTGGCACAGATGCAGTTTCTAAACATTTCCAAGATAATATTCGTTCATACAACAGTATGTTTTCGTTCACGTCCATGGGCGGAAAGATAGATAGAACTCTCAACAAGGTTGGATCACCGCCAATCTTCAAGCTAAGTGGGCAAAACTATCACCTAATTGGTTCTTTGCTACCACAAGACGGAAACGTGCCAAAATTTGCGCAACTCTTTATCTATGACACACAACATGAAGATGCTCATCGAATGTCCTCTGTTAGGTAACTTTATAACTCACTATTACACATGCCACATGTAATCATCAACACACTTACTCATTTCAAATTTGTTAGTGATTTTTGTATATATATTATTTAACTTCAGGGATGATGAAAAGAAGAACAATTTGCATGCACATATTGTGTGTACATTGAGGGAGATGTTGGATAAACATAACGTTTTAGTTAAGTCGTTTAGGATGGTTAGAGATAAAGTCGCTACAGGTGGGGAAAAAAAGGTTTCCTTGAAGCTAATAGGTAGGAGAACTAAGGATGCAAGAACTTATAATTTACCTACAGTTTCTGAGGTAGCGGCATTGGTGGTCGGAGATTTTGACGAATCACTTGGGCAAAGAGATATTATGGTTGAAACTCAAGGGGGGTCTTTGAAAAGAATAAGTGAGCTACATCCTGCATATCTAGGGTTGCAATATCCACTTCTTTTTCCGTATGGTGATGATGGGTACAGGGAGGATATACCATTTTCTGATGCAATTGTATCTAACACGCGCGGTCGCCGAAGCGTTAGCATTAGGGAGTATCTTGCTTACAGATTACAGGAACGGCAAAATGAGAGCTCTTTCATTGTTAAGAGCAGGAGATTGTTCCAACAGTTCGTAGTTGATGGATATACAATGGTTGAGTCTTCAAGACTAATATATATTAGAACTCATCAAAAACAACTTAGGTGTGAAATGTACAAAGGACTTTCTGATGCTTTGTTAAGCGGTGAGCGAGATGCGTCCACACAAGGTAAGCGAATTGTCTTACCACCTACTTTTGTCGGCGGTGCACGATACATGGTTCAAAATTATCAGGATGCAATGGCTATATGTAGATGGGCAGGGTACCCAGATCTTTTCCTAACTTTCACCTGCAACCCAAGATGGCCTGAAATTAATAAGTTCCTTGCTTCAAGGAATTTGAACCCTGAAGATCGTCCGGATATAGTATGTCGAGTGTTCAAGATGAAGTTGGACAGTTTGATCAAATATCTTAGACAAAGTAAAATATTTGGAGAAGTTCGAGCAGGTAAAATAATTGTTCAGTGTATGTATAACATACACACACACACACACATATATATATATATAATCTATATAATAATGACATTGTTATATTTACACGACTTCTATGATTGCAGTGGTATACACAGTCGAGTTTCAAAAGCGTGGGCTACCGCATGCTCATATTTTATTATTCATGGGGAATGCTGACAAATTCCTCACCCCAGTGGATATTGACCGGATTATATCAGCTGAAATACCCGACGAGATGACTGATCCTCAATATTATAAAGCAGTGTGCACACATATGATGCATGGACCATGTGGCAGTGAAGCAAGAAACGCCCCTGGCATGGTTAAGTCTAAATGTTCAAAGCATTTCCCAAAAAACTTCAACGAGCAAACGAACATTGATGACGAAGGTTATCCGAAATATAGGAGGCGAAATGATGGAAGATCAATTGTCAAAAGTGGTGTACACCTTGACAATAGATATGTTGTTCCCCACAATAGGTCATTGCTCATGAAGTTCGGCGCTCATCTGAATGTGGAGTGGTGTAACCAAACAAGGTCAATAAAATATTTGTTCAAATATGTCAACAAAGGGCATGATCGTGTCACTGCAGGGTTTTACGAGACATCAAGTTCAAGTGACAAGGAAAAACCCGTTGATGAAATAAATTTGTATTATGATTGTCGATATATATCCCCATGTGAGGGAATGTGGAGAATATATGGGTTTGAAATTCAGTATAAGAATCCATCCGTTGACCGTTTGAGCTTTCATTTCCCAAACGAGCAGTATGTTTACTTCGAAGATGATGCAACAGTTAGTGATGTGGTCTTGCGGGAGTCCGTTAAGGAGAGTATGTTTTTGGCTTGGATGAGAGCAAATGAACAGTATCCAGAGGCCAAGGATTTAACTTATGCAGAATTCCCTCAAAAGTTTGTTTGGAAGGCTGCAACAAGGGAATTTGTACCTCGCAAAAAGGGGTTTGCTATAGGTCGTCTAACATATGTGCCCCGGGATCGGGAGAATCATATTATTTGCGATGCATCCTTAATTTGAAGCGTGGGGCTACAAGCTACAATGATCTAAGAACTGTAGAAGGCATTTGTCATGATACATGTCGTGAGACATGTTACGCTTTAGGATTGCTGGACGATGACAAAGAGTATGTCGAAGGATTTTCAGAAGGTAGTTTTTGGGCTTCTGCATTGTGTCTTAGGAAGGTATTTGTCATTTTATTGGCAGCAGATACTATGAGCAGACCAGAATATGTTTGGGACAAATGCTGGACAGTTATGGCAGATGACATTCTGCACAGACAAAGAAGAGTTTTGATGCATCCAGGTACCCAACGATATAATACAAGGCAATTACCATATAATAAGTATATTTCAATTTCTGTTCATATAACTTAATTACGATTATAAAATATTATATATACAATATGTTCTTTGATATAGCGTTTCACATTTGTAATTTTAGATTTGACGCTAACTGAAGCTGAGATTAAGAATTATGCATTAAGCGAAATAGAGTTGATGCTGAGGAGATTGGGTAGGAGCTTAAAGAACTATCCAACAATGCCATTCCCTACCATCAGTGACTATGCCATGTATCATAACAGGCTTATATACGACGAATTGCAATATGATCGTGTTGCTTTACGTGAAGAGCATGACAAATGCGTTGACAATCTGAATGATCAACAACGTCATGTATACTCAACCATTATGCATTCTGTTGAACAATGTAATGGTGGTGTATTCTTTGTTTATGGTTATGGAGGCACGGGGAAAACGTTTGTGTGGAAAACATTGTCGGCTGCTTTGAGGTCCAAGGGAGAAATTATTTTAAATGTTGCTTCAAGTGGTATCGCAGCTTTACTGTTACCTGGTGGTAGGACAGCTCACTCACGCTTTGCAATACCAATCAATGCAAACGAGAACTCAACATGCAACATCAAACAAGGGAGTTCACTTGCACAATTGATAATTCGGTGCAAACTAATTATATGGGATGAGGCGCCGATGACGCACAAGCACTGTTTCGAAGCATTAGACAGAAGTTTGCGGGACATCCTCAAGTTCACCAATTCAGGTAGTTCTGACATGCCATTTGGAGGAAAAACAATCGTATTTGGGGGTGACTTCAGACAAATTTTACCAGTCATACCAAAAGGCACCAGACAAGACATAGTGAACGCAACTATTAATTCTTCTTACATTTGGCATGATTGCATTGTATTGCGTTTAACGAAGAATATGAGATTACAATCATTGTCTGATGATCGTGAATACGAAGATTTAGTAGAGTTCGCTGAGTGGATTGCGAGTTTAGGAGATGGCACTGCTGGGGAAGGTAATGATGGCCTTGCAGATGTAAAAATTCCAAGTGACATTTTGTTAGAGTGTGGAGACGATCCCATTGCCACTATTGTCCAAAGCACCTATCCAAACTTTGAAAATATAGCCAATGATCCATCATACTTGCAAGAGCGTGCGATTCTAGCTCCGACTCTAGATGTTGTCGATGCTATTAATGACTACATGACATCTTTAAATGTTAAGGAAGAGTCGAGGACATATCTAAGTTCAGATAGCATTTGCAAGTCCGACTCCAATGCGGATGTCTTGGCGGATTTGCACACACCAGAATTTCTCAATAAAATACGTGCATCTGGAGTTCCAAACCACGAGTTAACTCTAAAGGTTGGTACACCAATCATGCTTTTAAGAAATATTGACCCGTCTATGGGGCTTTGCAATGGAACAAGGTTGACTGTTACACGACTCGGAAAGCACATCCTAGGTGCAAAAGTTCTAGGCGGAAAATATGCTGGTCATGAAGTTGTCATTCCAAGGTTAAGCTTAACTCCGTCAGATTCAAGAATACCCTTCAAGTTTCAGAGAAGGCAATTTCCGGTGATGACCTCTTATGCCATGACTATAAATAAGAGTCAAGGACAATCTTTGAAACATGTTGGACTTCTATTAAAAAAGTCAGTGTTTACGCATGGTCAACTATACGTTGCAGTATCAAGAGTAACAAATCGTAAGGGTTTGAAAATATTGATTTGCCGTGAAGATGGCGAACAAATCGACCATACTGCAAATGTCGTTTACAAAGAAGTTTTTCGTAATTTGTAGATTTTAGAAATCTTATTGTAATATTTCTTTATTTCTATTTGGTTCAAAACTTTCTTATTACAAATGCATAAGTCTTAACTATCATTTCATTAATTATAATGAATTATGTATATTGCATCTCATCTATTTTCATACATTAATACTTGAATTAATAATATACACAAATATGGAAATATAACTAATACAGAATTTCTGCCCTAGAGAGTGGCATGTCTTTTTCATCCTTGCCAATCAAAATTTTTGGTGCACCCTCTAATGTCTTGGTACTGCCTAATTGACTATAGTTAGAACTACGGCAAAGGATGGTAGTAGGTATGCTTTAAATTGGAAAAACAATAACCCCTCTCGATATGTCCACTCTCTTCCCATGGTACCATCGTAATGGTGGCGGTGGGATGCTCTGATTTCTAAAGAGCTGGCGTGGTATAAGGAATGGATTACGCAACAACTCGAGTTTGAGACTCGTCACGATGAGATAAGGCTGCTACAATCGTGTTGTATCGATTAGGTTTGTTTTCTACTTACAAGGATTAAAACTTATTTTAAAATATTGTGTGCGTTTTAAATGTCACTACGTCCTAAGTATAAAAATGATTTCATTATTGAGAAGACTAATTACCTTTTATTTTAATTTATTCTATTAAATGTTAATTAATATAAAATTTTAAAAATTTTGATCGGATTTCTTGACGCGAGTCACATGATCTAGTCATCGGCCATGTCGCATCCTATTCAACTTTAATAAGATTGCGGGACGTAGCTTACCTGTTAAGAAGCTGTCATATGAAGGAGATGTCATGAGTTTAACTCCAAACAATGATTTGAAAGTGAACTTCACTCCTTTTCCCTTTCCATTAGAATGATATCTAAATTCAACTTACATTCTCTCAAATAGCTTGGTCCAAAAAGGTGGAATCTCCCACCCCAGGAGCTTCCCATACCTAGATCCGACAGGATTTTTGGGAGGATGTTAATCACGGTGACTCAGTCGGCCCAATGATGATAGACTTTTTTCTCGTGCGCACCAGAGGCCCAGCCTTATTTCAATTTCTGTGACCTCCACACGGCCGCTGCAAGTTTCGAACCTTGGTCACTTGGTCCAAATTTCTCTCAAACAGCTAAAATAATTATCCCGTCGATTCTAAGCAATAATGTGAGCCATAGTGTGAATGTGGGGAAGCTAGAATCCCACACACTTGTGACTTGCCGCGTCGCGCTTGCATAGTTCGACGATCATTCGATCCGATCGATAACCATAAGATACAAATATAAAAACAAAAGAAAACGGGGACGCGTTATGCAAATATCTTTAAATAACTCTGACGACGGGGCGGTGTTTCCTCCCTTTCTCTCAGCTGCGTGTCTCGGTGGTCTTCCAAACCGACGGCCCTGAGCGACGGAGGGAGGAGAAAGATCGGTGGGTTATTCATCTCCATTTGAACTGAGCAATCCCTCATCACAGTCACCATGAATGAGAAAGCTAATGTTTCTAAGGAGCTAAACGCTAAACACAGAAAGGTTTCCTCCTTCTCAATTGATTTTCTTATTTGCGCCTCATTTTTTTGTTATTTTAATTTTGATCTCATATCAGATTTGAGCATACAGTGACGGGTTTCCTGTTATTGATACACAAACTCAAACTGCTAACCGTGTTTAAGATTTAAGCGCAGTTAGCTTTTCTATAATACTCCGTAATCCGTATCATTTATGATGTGAATTTTGGATTTGGCATTTGGATTCGCTTAGGCTGGGTTTCTGTAGTACTACGTATAAGATTGATATTATGAGACGTATATTCTAATTAGATTCACAAAATTATTGATTAAAAACAAGATGGTTTTAAGTAGTATGATCATTGTGTTTAATAACATTATAGGATATTTTCCTGCGGCATGGTTCACACACAGTTTGCGACCAAGTCTCCATTTTAGAAATGCATATAGATGCTCGTATATAAACGTGGTATCTTTTTGCTACTAAGAGTACTGATTGTTTGAGGATTATGGTATATGCCATCGGATCTACAAGTTGGTCGGTCCTCATTGGGTATCATGATCCTTAAATGGTTATATATAAAATGGAATTCCGTAAAATCACTAAGGTTCTACTGGACCAGCCTTTCTTTTGCACCTTTTCTTGTTATATTGTTCATGCGTACAAGTAACAGGAGTTTGGAGCATACAGTTTAGAAATCTAAGTAGCTTTTTATGCGGCTTTTTAGCTGTTCATTTTAGATCCGTGAACACACTTCTAGTATTAGGTCAATGGTGTCATGCTTGCTTGTGTATTTCACCAAAAATGAAACCTTTTCTGGTATCTCAAATACCACAAGGTGAGAGTTCATACCTTCATCTGTGGAAAGTAATTGTGCTGAGACGCTAACAATTGTGATGGAATGAAAAGCAACCTAATTGATGTTAACTGCTGACTATTAGTACACCTCTACATCTCTACTAAAGGTAGAAAATAATAATTGAAACTGATTTAATGTCAGGGAATCATATGAACTAAATGGAAGGCTTGTTTCACATAATCAATCATATGTGGTTGGTGTTCTAGGTTTAGTAATTTTTTTTATGAAAGTTAGGTGTTGTTTTCATTCTCTTGGCATTTTCTCCAAGAAACATTTTTTTTTTCACTCAAAATGATGCTTTCTGGTACCTTGGTGCAGATTCTAGAAGGACTTCTTAAGTTGCCTGAGAACAGAGAATGTGCAGATTGCAAAGTAAAGTATGTGTTGGCAAGTTTTACTCTCAAGTCTATTTACTTATACATTATCTGGTTTTCATTTTATTGGGATCTGGACTTGCCGAAAGAGGGAAAACTTTGTTGCCGTTGTACTGGACTACACTGAAAATATAGACATCATCTTTGTGGAATTGTACATGAGTTTACTAATTTATTATGTGTTTTATCTTTATGTTCATTTGGTGCAGAGGTCCACGATGGGCTAGCGTGAATTTAGGAATCTTTATATGCATGCAATGCTCAGGGATCCACAGAAGTCTTGGAGTGCATATATCAAAGGTGATTAAAATATTCCTTGAGAAGCAACTGAGATGTATTGGAGTTGCCGTAAGTAAAAGGCAACTGAGATGTATTACACGTGTCACATGAGTGCAGTGGTCTGGTCTAGATTAAATAAAAGGCAAAAGGGTGCTTTGGGAAGGCCTGTATTTTTGGAATCTGGGTAATTTGTGAATTCTGTTCTGTGATATTTCCAAAACATTTCAGGTTAGATCAGCCACACTTGATACATGGCTTCCAGAACAAGTTGCATTTATTCACTGTGAGTTCTTCAATGATTGGCATGTTCAAAATTTTAGATGGTGTTATACGATCACTGATAAAACATATGTGATACATTTGCTGTTATTCTTTATAAAGCAATGGGAAACGAGAAGGCAAATTGTTACTGGGAAGCAGAACTACCTCCAAATTATGATAGAGTTGGAATTGAGAATTTCATTCGTGCAAAGTGTGTGACTTTTTCCCTACCAAATCCTTATAATAGTCATTAATCTGTTCCATTTTTGAGTGATTGATGCCTTCCATATTTTGCATTTATAGATATGAAGAGAAGAGATGGGTTCCGAAGGATGGGAAACAAGCATCACCATGGGTACAATCTAGTGATAGAAGTGGGTATGGACATGCAAACAGCTCTGGTAATTTATCCAATGAAAAGAAAAATGTCCAGTCACCAGGCATGAAGCATAAAACTCCAAATGCTAGAGTTAGTATACCAGTGCCACCTAAAGGACAAGACAATGTATGTTAGCACATAGTTATGTCATTATGGTTTAATATTAGTTATTATGCTCCTGTAATTTATGGGGTTCCTTGTGGAATTAAGTGTATAGCTCTGCGGTAAGCTAGGTTCTGCTTTACATTATAAACTTACCCCCTCTGTCCCAAAAAGAGTGTCATGTTAGGTCAAGCCGTCAAGGTGAACATTTTTGTTTTGGAAAAGTGCAACTTTTAAAAGTGATGAATCCCCACTTATATATTTAAAAATAAAATCGTTAAGTTGGTTGAACTAAATTTATCATATTTAACTTGTTTGTAATGTTTTTAGACAAACTACACGATAGATAAGATTTGTTTGATGGATCAATACTACTTTGTGACAGAGCCAAAGATCCATCATTTGCAATGGAGCCAAAGATTCATTATTTTTTGGCTTGAGATTATGATGGAATCAAGCAAAATGGCTCACTAAACTGTCTGCGCTTCTTTGTTATGAAGCAGCAGTCAGTCCATGCAATTTTGGACGGGATTTTCACTATGGGTCATTCGGAAACAGTCTCTCTGTGCTTTAGTACAGGGGTAAGACTGCGTACATCCGACCCCCCCTTACCCCACCGTAGGTGGGAGCCTTTGCGGCACTGGGGTAAATGAAAATGAAATGAAAATGATCAATACTACTTTGTGACAATAAAAGCTTCTGAAGCATGACTTTTTGTGGGACAGGGGAGGTATTAAACTTCATTTGAAATACAATTCCATGGTCCCCCATTAGATGTACCAAAAAGAGTTCCTTAATAAGTGTATTATGCTTTTCTTTTAATGCTAAGTTTTATTATTGAGGTATTGCAGTTATGTGTTCAAACCATGCTTGGTCCACGAGTGGGCTTCTAACACCTGTTACTCTGTTAGTACATGACCATCCTTTTTATAAGACAAACACGTGGGTTTATAATTGGCTTTCAATAGATTGAATTTCCACATACTATAAATTTTCCATGTCAATGCCATATTAAGCACCATGATTTTTTTTTACGGTTGAATTGTTGAGCTTGTCTTGTTGATTTTTCTTCCATAGCGAGCAGTTTGATATTTTTTGAATTGGATTTGAAGTTGTGGACTTGACGTTTTCTTGTTGCTTATATAACAGGCAGCTCCTCAATTGACACCTCAAGAAAATCAGAAAGCAGAGCTAGTGGCAGCAGCTGAACCTGCAAAACAGATTGCAGAACCTGCCATTACCCTTAAAGTTGATTTCGCCACTGATCTATTCAACATGCTTTCAACGGATGACCCAGTTGAAAATGGCTCAGAGGCAGTTGCTTCAGATGATAATATGTGGGCAGGTTTTCAGTGTATGTTGAGATCAACTTTGATTCAGTATCCTTTTCTTATTTTCTTTAGGTGTGTGTTGGAGGAGGTGGGTGTGGAGTTCACGGAAAGTTGAACTTACAAATAGAAATTAGGTTATGGAGATTCAATTTTTTAATTTGATATTATGCCAAACTTCAGCTGCTGGAGCATTGAAAACGTCCGTAGAAACAGGGACAACGACATCTGAAGAAATCAAGCCGCCATTTCCGTCCGGTGTTGAAGATTTATTTAAGGATTCACTACCAACTGCGCCTGTCACCTTGTCAGAGAAGCCTCAAAAAGATGTTAAGAATGACATTATGAGCCTTTTTGACAAGGTATTACTCGTTCCATCCCAAAATAATGTTCTTGCTTTCCTTTTCGATTTGTCCTTGATAAAATTCTCTTGCTTATTTGGTAAAAGCAAAAGACTTGATTTACTTTAATATCTTCAGTTAATATCCCCAGTCCACACCTTTGACCAATAGTTACATCCAGCCACAGATCTCACAGGGAAAACCTAGAAGTGATAGCAAAAAAATGACTCGTTAAAAACCGTGAAAGTCAAACTAATAAATTCTTTTTGAGTCATTGTTCTAAGGTCTCACTACTGCTTGCATTATTAGACATCTTATTGAAACTATATAATTTGCTCCATGGCAGTCCAATATGGTCTCGCCGTTTGCAATGCATCAACAGCACCTTGTTATGTTGGCACAACAACAGTCTCTTTTAATGGCGGCTGCTACAAATCCAGCTGAGGGTGCGCTAAAAGCACAAGTGCCAACTGGCACCAACCACTTATCAGACCAAGGCTGGCAGAATCTTGGCTACCACCAGTTTCCAGGGATAATGGCCCCCACAGCTGTAAAGAATGAACTAGGGAAGTATTTGCAGGTAAAAGGAGGGTATATGTTTTACAGTGCAGTTCCTTTGAAGCTCTTGAAAATCTGTTGTAAAACCTCTGTTTCATTTGATCTTAAACTAGGTGGGCACTACGGCTACTCCAGATTTAGCAGGGAACTCGGTTCCATTTTCAACTACCAGGTAAGATTGATTTGACGTCTTTGTTGAAAATATTTTAGGCAAAATCTATTTTTAAGCCACTAAACTTGGGGATTTGATGTGGATTTGTATGTATTGCATCCTAACATGCCATGTGCTAACAACAACAACAACAAACACATTACAACAACATCCGAGCCTTAGTCCCAAAATAAGTTTGGGGTCGGCTAACATGAATCAAGACATGAAATCGGAGCTAAAAAAGACAATAAACATAAAAAAGAAAAAGATAATATTAGATAAAAAGATCATATAAAGATAAAGATAAGGTAAAACTGATAGGATAAATAAGATAAAAATATAGATAAAAAGGATAAAAAGTAAAAAGATAAAGAATATAAGAAAGATAAAAAGATGAAAAAAATAAAAAAGATAAAAAGAGACCAGTCCTGCACACGAATATTCTCCATCCACTTTGCTCTATCGAGAGCCATGCTCTCATTCAACCCAAAAAGAAACATATATCTTCTGAGTCCTTTAATCCATGTTTATTTGGGTCTTCCTCTTCCTCTTCTCTCCACCTATCAACTCATTTAACAGGTGTATCATGCGGTCTTCTACTCACATGGCTAAACCACCACAATCAAGACTTTCATTTTATCTTTAATAGGTGCTACGCCCACCTTTTGTTTGGTTGTTTCATTTCTTAAAATGTCTTTTCTAGTATGTTCACACATCTAACGTAACATTTGCATCTCAGTCATATTCGTCTTTTGAATGTGACATTTTTTCACAATCCAACACTCTACGTCATACAATAATATAGGCTTCATTGTTGTCTGATAAGACTCACCTTTCTGTTTAGTCGGCATACCTCGATCATATAGAAATCCCGACATGCTCTTCCATTTCATCCACTTTGTTCTGATTCTATGTGATACATCTCCATCTAATTTACCGTCCTTCCGAATTATAGAGTCTAGATAATGGAATTTCTCATTGGCCGATATCCCCTTACCATTTAAGATAATCTCATTGTCTCCATTACTTCTGCCTCCACCAAATTTGCACTCCATATACTCGGTCTTGCTTGGGCTCATCCTGAAACTCTTGTTCTGCAAAGTTTGTGGCCGTACTTCTAACTTTGCTTTTACACATGATCGTGTCTCATCAATCAACAGAATATAGGCAAACTTCATGTACTTCGATATATCTTTTAATTAACTTCGTAAATTCATCAATGGCTATACCAAATAAGAAAGGACTCGGAGTCGTTCCTTGGTTCACTCCAATAGTAATAGGGAACTATGTAGTGCTCCCTACATTAGTAACAGGACTAACAGACACATATAGTGTAATCCTCATATATATATTCATGATGATGTTGATATACTTACATGATATGCCTTTTCTGGACAAGGCCCACCAAAGGACTTCTCGAGGTACCTATCATATGCATTTTTTAGTCAATGGACACCAAATGCAAATCTTTGTTAGTGTCTCTATACTTCTCCTCAAGTTTCCTAAGAAGATGATTGATCTCAGTTGTTGAGCAATCAGACATAAAATCGAATTGATTCTCTTAAATCTTCACTCTTCTTCGGTGCCTTTGTTCAATCACTCGCTCTCAAATTTTAGTAGGACTTAAGTTTGCCCATGGCATTCCCAATGGGGCTGGTTAGAATTCAAGGTGTTCAATGCAACCAACTAGACCAGCTAGGGGCTTAAAAGTGTGTTTTGCTGCATATTTTATGTACTTTTGATTTGATGTATGTTTGTTTCTATATGCTACTTCAGTGTCTACACCGCAGGACAGTCTTTTTCCACCAATGGTGTAGTCACACATGGAGTAACCAAGGCGGTGGAGGCCCCAGTTTCTTCCATTGCTACACTGGCCGCTAAAGATTATGACTTTTCCTCTTTGACGCAAGGAATGCTTTCAAAACGCTGAAAACAACCCTCCAGGTGGAAATGTATGATCCTACAATTTTAGTCATAATATTATTATTAAATATGCAATGGTCATTCATAGAAAAGATTACATCTCAGACCATAAAACTATTTTGTAGCAATGCTGGATATTTTCTCTGTTAATTTTTGGCTATGTTTCCACTTCACTATAAAAAGTGTGTAATTTTTACATTTTGAACAACCACGTACATTATTCGGAGTACATTGCCGTAGGAACGTGAAAAGAAAGCTGTCTGTGTACTGCAACATTGAAAGATGGAGTCATGGAGAACACTATCATATGCAGCAGCTGGCTGGCAATACTCTTGGTATTCTCAGCGCTGAGATCTGCAGATCAAATTGATTGTAGAGTTAACATGCTTTGATTTTCTTGAAAGGATAAGTCAGTCTTTGCGTCCTGTGTCTATACCCGTATTTGATTTCACATATCATGTTTTATTATCTTTGAGTATGCACCCCCGGAATGCCTCAGATGTAGGCCAATCCTATTATAGAGTTTGCACTCTCAAGTGTTTACATTGGGTGTTTATCGAGCATGTGTGCAAAATATGAGTAAGCTAATTGTGATTCTTCTAGGGTGAATTAAGCATAATTGATATACATTTCATGATATACTCTAATATGCAGTTTTTAGAAAAAAAGGTCAGAATCAATGTCTAAGCCCATATACTAAAAACCATCACATGGGTGCATTTAATACTCGAAAATAATCAAACAAGTCTATGAAAAATAGTCTACTACACGTTAGTGTCATTTTTAGCCTTTCTTCTGTTTCACTTTTTGGGGGAAATGAGTGTGGAACAGATATATTCTTGTTCTAATTTTTGGAACAAATATACCCCTAAAGTTTATGTTGAAGTGCATATATATCCCTAAATTTTTAAGAGCATGTGTTTTTGAGCTAAAAACACTTTGAGTTCTCTCTAAAATTTCCCGAGTGTTTAGTCCTTGTCTCCGTTCGCTGGAACAGTCGATTGTGTGTTCAAACAATTGTTCCCATAAAGAAGTAAATTTATCCATATTGACTTTAAATAGATAAAGTAAATTTCAAAAAACACAAAAAATATATTGAAAATTGGCGGTGTAGCAGTGTCTAGTGGGGGGGTGGGGGGTGATGAACCAAATTATTGCAAGGAAGAGTATTGGGGGCGATAAACCATACAGTCTACGAAAAAGAAAAAAAGAAAGAAAAAGAAAAGAAAAGGAAAAGAAAATAAAGGTCATGTGTCGCCACACGTGTAAATTTATCTGATAATCTGATAAAAAGACAATTTGGATGTTTTTAGTTGGATTGAAATTTGGTGGTTTGATCTGGTTTGGTTTGTTTGAGTCTGATCTTGTCAGATGTGGTCTGAACTAATTTGGTTTGGTCTGATAAATGTTTGGTCTATGTGTATTTTATAATTATAAAAGTTTACTCTGATATGATCTGATCTGTTTAAATTTGATGTAGTCTGACGTGGTCTGTTTAAGTCTGGTATGAAAATAGTCCAAGTAAAAACTTCTACGGTATAAGCATTTATGACACTTTTTGATATATAAAATGTTATATAAATTAGAAATTAGTTCAAATAGGACTAAAACTATGGCAAAAACCTAAAATAGGACTTGTTATGTTTTTATTCCAAAATAGGACCATATAAGTCCTATTGGAAACATACCTATTTTTGCATTCCATTCTTACCCTTCCATTAAATATGAATTAAAAATAGTCAAAAGCCATAATTAAATGTTTAATTCATAATAAATTCGAAAAAAATTCAAAAATTCGTAGAAATATAATTAAAAAATTTATAAAATTTTTATAAAATAAAAAATTCAAAAACTTTTTTTTAAAATAATTTTATTTTTAGAAAAATTAATAAAAAATATTAAAACTCCGTAAAAAAATTTTAAAAAAATATGGATGTCTTTCCCACCGCCTGTACTACCTCCCAGCACCACCACCTCCGGGCGATGAAAAAAATGCCATTTTCCCAGAAAAATGCCATTTTTTTTTCTGAAAATGCCAAAAAAGTGGCATATTTCTCTTTTCGAATGTCAACATTTTCATTTTTTCTGCCATAAATATGGCATTCGTAATGAACTTGGCATTTTTTTCCCCGGTGACTGGAGGTGGTGGTGCTGAGGCGGCAGAGGCGGCGGCGATTTTTTTTAGTTTTTATTTTTTTTTTAATATTTTTTTTAATTTTTTTAATTTTTTGGAAAAAAATTAATTATATTTTTAATATCGAAATGTTTTTCTTAATTTTTTAGTATTTTTTACGATTTTTTATTATTTTTTATTATTTTATTAGGAATTAAAACATTTTAATAGCTATAAGGGTATAATTGTCCAAGGTACACATAATTAGTCCTATGCAAACATAGTTTATTTTTTGATCCTATTTGTGAAAAGTGAATGACTTTTAGTCCTATTTTGATAATTAACTCTATATAAATTTATAAACAAAACATCTTATTTCAATCCGTTAATGATAACATCTTGTCAAAACTTAAATTATTCAACTGTTCTATTCTACTTGATTCACATTCATAAGTATAGGGATGGACTCAGGCTGACTCAATCGGACCGAAACCGGACTGACCCGGTACTGTTACGAACCGCCTGGCCCGAGGCCCGGGTCCCGCCCGGGTGCATTTTACCCGAACCAAATTTTTTCAGGGTGGGCTCCGGGTCTCCAAAACATGAACCGGTCCAGCCGAGCTCCATTCGGGCCAATTTTTTTTTTTTTCAAAATTTTTGGGAGGTAAATGGGTTTGACTGAGTGTTTTGGATGGGTTTGAGGTGTGGGGGGTAGGAAGTAATTAGAAAAAAAAGTATCCGATCCTGCCCAACCCGGACCCGGTAGCTACCTGGGCCGGTTCCGAGTCTCAACAAACCAACAAAAAGCCCGTTCAGGCCAGGCCTTCGGACCGGGTCCATGCCTACATAAGTACGGTACCTTAAGTGTATCTACCATTCTACCCTTTGCAAACTCTAATTTAGCACAAGTCAACCGTTAGCTACTTTTATCATGTTAATAAATGTTGACCTTGGTCCCCAAAATTGCCCACAATTTGCAAAATAATAATCGAGTTGGTAAATGGTAACTATTTCGGAAGCAATAATGCTACAAAAATTGAAAGGTTATGACAGTCTATATAAACCACATAAGTTGTGCTCCAAATGGTGAAGATTTTGGATTTATAGTTTTATACCAATTCATCTACTGGAATCCTGTTTCAACCACTGAATTAACTAAGTAAATAAATGTGTAATATAATTGAAAGAAGGTATAAATAAGTGTTCGGATAGAGAATTAATATACAACACGAGTGAAGAATTTGACAATCTGCAAAAGGAAATGCCAAAGGGATTAAAGCTACATATAATAATGTCTCAGTCATATAGGTTTTTGGCAAATCGGATTCTCTTTAACTTGTTTTCACTCTTCGCGACTTTTTCCTCCATTTTCTCTAATTTAGATTCAGCTTTTGCAATGGCTTTCTTCTTTCGGACACTCTTCATCCTTTTCATTTGTACACTCTTGACCTTTCTGTAGTTTAGAGCAAATGACATTAGTGCTTAAAATCACAAGCAACATTCAACAATCCATGGAATTACAAATACGAGAATCTATGGAATTTGACAGCCTTTGTTTAAAAGTTTTTATATATGAATACAAAATTATCCTTGTTTATCACAAAAGTTGTCTATATGCGCTCTTAGGAGTAAAGACCTTCTCCTAAAATCCTAGATTAATATAAGTAATGACGTTACTGGTTATCCCTCTGCCTCAACTACTATCAATGATGTTCCTTCTGTGAGCAGCAAAGGAAACAAAATTATGGATTATAACTTATAAGTTATAACTATGATGATAAAACTTCATGGGAAAAGGAATTCCCGAACAAATAGTAGGGGTGTTGGAAATTGCATGGAAAAGGAATTCCAGAACACGTTATCGGCTTTTTCATTGATAAACCCATGGGTTGGCATGCAATTTCCAATTCCTCAAAACACATCGAGTTTTAATTCCACGGGAAAAGGAATTCCAGAAAACACTCTTTATTTCAGGGAAGGTAGGGTGGGGGACAAACTTATTAATAGCACGCTTAAGCTTCAAAGCCCAAGCTAGCAAGGACTTGAGGCGTAGCTGTTAATAAGCGACGATGCATGAGAAAGCGTCTCTTTGGGCGCTTTTGGTTGCTCCACTTAAGCTCTAAAACCATAGCTTTTTAGGGCTTCTCACCAAAAGAGCTAACTTTTATTTTTATGACCTAGGACTGTAACGATCTACTTCCTTTCTAATCCCAAAAACAGAACTTTAGTCTTCTGCTATTCTCTCTGGTTTGACATCTCCAAGTTGGTTTAAGGTTAAAACCTAATCTTCTTTCGAATTCTCCTTCTAACTTGTAAATTTTCAGTTCTTCAATTAAGTTTTTTTTTCTGCAGATTATTTGTTTGAAGCAGATGATTACATAAACATATGGAAAAAATCATAAGCAGAAGAAGATGACAATTGCATACAACAACATCCACGCCTTAGTCCCAAAAGATATTGGGGTCGACTAACATGAATCGATACATGATATCACCACCAAAAGGAAAAGAAAGAAAATAAAGATAAAAAAGATAAGCTATTATAAAAAAATATAAAAAGAGATGAATATACATAAAAATGATAAAATAAAAAGGATACAAATAATGCTTATATATATATAAGGATAAAAAACAAGGAAAAAAAGATGAGGGGAAAAGATGATACGAGATCACTCCTCCACACGAATATCCGCCCTCCACTTAGCTCTCTCCAAAGTCATGCCCTCAACCAACCCTAGAAGAAGCATATCACTTCTAACTCCCCTAACCCACGTCTGTTTGGGTCTTCCTCTCCCTCTCTTCCCTGCCTCTTCTCCACACATCTCAACTCGTCTGACAGGTGCATCACTCGGTCTTCTACGCACATGACCAAACCATCGTAGGCGCAATTCCCGCATCTTGTCTTCAATAGGTGCTACTCCCACCCTTTGTCTGATTGTCTCATTCCTCACATGGTCCTTCCTAGTATGCACACACATCCAACGCAGCATGCGCATCTCTGCCACACTCATCTTTTGAATGTGACATTGTTTCACCGCCTAACACCCTACGTCATACAGTAATGCAAACCTAATTGATGTCCTATAAAATTTACCCTTCAGTCTAGTCGAAAGATGACAATTGCATAAACAGAAGAGAAAGATTCAAACATATTCAACCAAAAATGGATTAATAAACAGTTTGAAACCGAAAGTAAAAACAAAAAAAGATTAAAAAAATATGTCCTTATAATTCTTATCTTATTGTTCTATTCATTGTTTGTTTTAATAGATAAACTATGTGTATAGATTGTATTGTACAAGGCTGAAAGTTTATTTGGATAATAAAATGTATGAAAGCGACAACTTCAAATCAACTTTAAAGTCAGAGCTAAAAAACTGTTTTTATTTTAAAAAATTATTACTTTAAAAACAATCTACAAAACCCCATTACAGAAAACTTGTTTTCTACATTGTCGACGGTCATTACTTTCTATTCCTAATTGAAAGCTATAACAACAATACCAAGATGTCCTTCATACATAAGCATCTATCTTTTTATCTATCAACTACAGACAATAAAAGTTAATAATTACTTTACCAATTATTGAGATCACATAGTCAGGGGCGGAGCCAGGGGGTCAGGGTGGTCAGTCGACCCCGCTGAAAGTTTGAGAGTATAGAGCTCTGAAATATCTTCGATTTGATATATTATGACACCCGTAACTCATTACGAGTAAAAAGTTATGACTTCTGGAAAATCAGCACTATCTAAACGTAAAATCAGCAAAATTTGATGCATACTATAGATTATTTTCCCAAATTTTAAAAATAGGGTATAATTCACTCAATACTTACGTGACACGACTCAAACTGAGCAAAGACTATCTACCTTGTTGCTTTTCTGGCTCCGCCACTGCACATAGTATAATGTTGCCTAAATAGAAAACAGTTTTTAATATATGCAGTTTACTCCATTAATTAATTTCTTAAAATATTAAAGTATATCTCATAACCCATAACCAATAGTTTACACTAATATTTATCCCATAAGGCCATAAGACTTCATAAAATTTGAATTTGGTGTGACTAGTTGCTAGCCTAACTGTTTTAGCAAAGAAAATACACCCCACATCTAGTTTTAGATGCTGCTCACTTACTCTTTCACTTTTGGCAGATTATCGTAAACTTGGAGAGTGTATTTTTACACTCTCATGGAATATACTGGACATAAGTACATAACAGTATGTTCATATACCTAATACCTAATATATAATATTCTGAACACATGCTAGTCCATGGAGTGAGAGTGTTGTTTTTATAACAGTGCATGGAGCATATGATCTGAACTTAGTAGTGGAATGGATGATACAAGGGAATCAATTTTCGCAAAGTACAGGCCATACTCCTCATTCATAAAAAAATGGGCTTTTAGATTTGCATCAACTATTTTTGTGCGACCTCATGCATTTTATTTTTATATGCGTCACATTTTGTGAGAAAGCAACCTTTGCTTAGCACTTTTTTCTTTTAAGTGAAGCTCCGCCTGGTCACTTTTATGCTTTTTTCGCTTAAAATAGTTTGGCCGAGGTCAACTCTGCTCATCTAAACAACATGTAAGTCTCTAGCATTCCCCAAAATGTGTTCATTCTTAGCTTTGAAGCGTAACTTTCACAGTTAAGTTGCTTTACTATATCTCAAAGTAAAGGAACTATGTTTCTAAGAAGGAGTTCTAACGGTCAAAGGCTCAAAGCCAATGAGCTAATTGTACACTAATTTCCTCATCAGATGCTTAAATGTGATATAATCTATACTTCTTCAGATTGTCAGCTCCATAATAATGCCAAAGCAGTCCCACGGAACACCCAACAAAAGCATGAAACTCAAAGATCTTTTGCATTCTAAATCCTACAAGCAGTCAAACATATCTTCATATACATATAAATGTTCTATACTTTTGTAGTGGATAAATACTCTTTTAAACGAAAAGAAAATAAAAAGGCATAAAAACACTGTAAAAACGGATATTTTTACTGACATGTGAACGCCGGTCGAAGAAGGTATCGGAGCAGCGGCCTCTGAAGTATCCATATCTGAGATAACTATTACAATAAAACAAGACCAATTATAAGATTACATGGCTGGGAGCTTTAGCATGATCAGAGAAACTTCAACAGAAAAATCACGATTAGCCTCACGCTCGCACAAAGGGAAATTTGAGAGTGAAGTGTGTACCTTGAGAGACCTTGGTCGTCTTATTGTCAATGCAATCCATTGGAGCAACGCCATTTTTCTTCTTCTTGTTTCTGTTCTTCACCATGGCTACGGAAGATGAGAATTGGGTAAACCCGTTTCAACGAAGCCCTATATATGTGGGTTCTTTTTATAAAACAGTTTGGGCCAATGAGTTTACAATACCTTTGATAGATCAACCCTGCTTATGACTTCAATTAGGCCGTTTTTATGTGGAGTTTGCATACAAATACAAAACTAATAATGACCTAGAGATATTGAGATTTTTAAAGAAATAAAACTAATTACTTTGGAGTATATAATTAAAGGGAAAACTTTCAAATACGTTCTTGTATTATTGTCAAAAAGTCAATTGAGTTATTGTACTTCTAAGTAAATCAATCAAATTCACAAAATATTAAAAACAATCAAATAAGGAGCAGCTTTTCATCAAATTGATAACCGGTAACCCGGTTCCCCGCATACGTGGCAATCACTTGAATCTTTTTTACTATTTTCTGTTTTAGTTGTTCCAGAATAATCCAACTTTTCATCACATCTTTTTTTGTTGGTCTTTGACCGACCAATTATCTGTTATATCATATTTTTGCCTTTTGTTTGGAAAACCTTATATAAATAATATAACATTTCATCGATCTTCTCAAAATAGGGTGTTATGTCATTTTTTCTTTTTCTCACTATAAATGTTCTCTTTTAGATTTTATCATCTCAACACTTTTTTTTTCATCTTGTTGTTATTTATTTATTTTATCTGTTTATGTATTTCATTTCCACCTCATCAAAAAAGTCTTTTTGTAGAATTTCTCTTCAATTTCTTTCATTCTTCTTCTTCCTCCCAATTTTTACTTTATTTCCTCTTTATATGTTTTACTAATCGCTTTAATCTCTTTTAAATATTTTTATTCGCTAGTGGTTATTATTCTATTTATTTTTTATTTCATTTTTTTCTTTTTATCCACCTTTTTCTTCTTTTTTCTCCTTTTCGTCATCTTAGTAGTCATTGTTTTTTCTTTGTCCATTTTTACTCCATCTCTTTAGCTAGTTTTTGAGTTATTAGGACTCTGACTTATAGTTCTATATTTCTTCTTATTCCACTCCTTTCGGCTAATTCCCCTCTCATCTATCCATTTTTGTATAATGAGTATATATCATTCTTTCCTTCTTACTTTTCCCTAGTTGTTTTATTTTTCTTTGTATTTCATTTTCCCTCAATTTTGTTTTATCAGAAAAAGTTTTTCAGAGAGTTGATAGAGTTAATATGTGGACTTACTTGCAAAAACACGGTGATGCAGAATGGAGAAAATATATATTGAATGAAAAAGAGAATGAAGAAATATAAAACAAAAAACTCAAAAATGTAACTCAAAGAAAAGGGGGAAAGTGAAAATGCAAAGAAAATATAACAAAAAAGTAGAGTGGGAAAAATCATTCATGAGAGAAACTGATTAAGAAGATAAATACATAAAAAGGGAATACATTAAAGACACAAGAATAAGAAGGAAATGACAAAAATATATGTACGACAAGGAAATTTTACAAAAAACTCTCATAATAGAGTCTGTTGAGGTTAATTCGTTCAAGTCCAAAGGTCCAACACGCTCCTTTGGAATATCATTAAGATACTCTTGACTGAGATGAAGTGAGAATAAAGGTCAACCCGAAAAATAGCTCAATTGCCCAACTGCGTTAGAATAGGGGTACTGATTACAAGGAAAAGATCGAACGGGAGTTCCGGACCAGTTGCTAATACAAGAGCTGGAGTGATATACTTCTAGTGAGTATCAAAATGATAACCTCTTACAATGACATAAATGCAGGTATTCATACTAGGAGTGAGTAGGTGAGGTGGATGATGTAGCCGATTCTGAGTGGATGATCTCTTTGCCACTTGGCCTCACATACTGTCCACTTGTGTAATGCCCGAGATTAATTTCAGAGGATTAATAGTACTACTCATACCAACATAGGTGCATCTCCTTTTAAGGGAGCTCATCAGGCAAGAACTCAAAAGTTAAGCGTGCTTGCACAGGGAGTAGTCTTGGGATGGGTGACCCCCTGGGAAGTTTCTCAGGGCGCGCACGAGTGAGCACAAAGTGCGCGGTAAAGGCTCGTGATGGTTTGTGAGGACAGTACTAGAGGTCAGAAGTATCTACCTTGGGCCCTGCGGGGCCGTGCTGTTACAGGTGGTATCAGAGCAACCCTGTGACAGTGTGTTGACCCGTTGGATTTCGGGCGGGCACTTAGCGGGGCAAGATTCTGGGGTTTGATTGAGATTGGTAAGGGCGCAACGAGGACGTTGCGATCCTAAGTGGGGGTGATTGTAATGTCCGAGATTAATTTAAGAGGATTAATAGTACTACTCATACCAACAGGGGTGCATCTCTTTTTAAGGGAGCTCATTAGCCAAGAACTCCAAAGTTAAGTGTGCTTGCACGGGAGTAGTCTTGGGATGAGTGACTCCCTTGGAAGTTTCTCAGGGCGCGCACGAGTGAGGCCAAAGTGCGCGGTAAAGGCTCGTGGTGGTTTGTGAGGACAGTACTAGAGGTCAGAAGTAACTATCTCGGGCCCTGCGGGGCCAGGGTGTTACAACTTGACTTCCCATACACCCAACATTAAATGTGTTTCCCGCCAATTTGCAAGGTTCCCGCCAACTATTTGGGCTGATCTTCTATGGATGGTGTTCAATTCCCTATTGCCAACTACCCTATCCAGCCTGTTTGGGGGTGGCCGAACGAGGAATGATCGAGCGGGAGCTGACCGTACTGGGATTTATTGTTTCTGCTTTGTATTTGTTGGGCTCCGTTACTCATGGGCTTCTTAGGAATATTTCGGGTCGGGCCCTTATAATATCCCAACAAAGTCAGAAATTGAATACATAAATATGAAGAAGAAATACAAACGAAAAGATGAAAAAGGAATTAAAAAGTGTAGAGATAAAAATAGCAGGAAGAAAAAATAATAAATGAAGAATGAGACTATTTTGAGAAGATTCTGTAAGGTGGAATTTTTTATGTAATTTTTTAAAAGGAAAACACAAAAAATCTACTATAACTAGTCAAAGACCAATGAAAGAAGATGAGCATAAAAATGTGATTGTTCTGATATTACGTAAATTTGATATGATCCTGAAAAGATCGATTGAAATTGAGATAAACTTTGTTCATTTTTCCCTTATTTTTATCATTATTCCTTCTTTTCTCAAGAGTTTGAAATTGTATTTTATATTGAAAGAGAAAAAGAATTCCAAACATTTCAGAGAGAGCCTCCGGTAAATGTTGCACATCTCTCTAGTGCTTCGGTAACATTCTTTTGTTTGAATTTAAACGAGTAATTTGAAAATTTATCACCCTATTTTGGCTTTATAAATCATAAATCACACGGAGTAATATTCGAACTTAAATTTGTTTTCGCATAAACCCATACTGTTCCGTTCGAAGGCTTTCAAACTCGGGGCTTTCGTTCCTATGATTGGAGATTAACGTTGAGAAACTAGAAAGCTCTACTATCCGGTTATGGCGAATGTCAAGGCTAAAAACTTCATTGTTTCGAGGCCAAATCCCCGTCTTCACAATATCAACAGTAATGGGGTGAAATCCAAGAGTAGGATCGCATTGTCCTTCAAGAAAGGCTCTGAACCAGTCAACCACTGGGATTTTCTGGTAAGTATTATATCATTCGACTTTTGTTGGATTTTTTTCGTCTTTTTGGCGGTGTATGAGCATATTGTTATTATAATCATTTTGAAATTTCATTTCAATTTCGTAATGCTCATATGGATTATGAAATAAGGGTTGCTAGTTTTCTTTCACATTCACATTACTCCGTATAGGATTGAGATTCTCATTTCCAGTTCATTTATTATTTAGCCGATTTTCTCTACTGATTATTCGATTTAATATTCCCTAATACAGATTTATTGATTGTTAAGTCCAATATCTTGTGCAGGATGAGATTGAAGCTCCCATGTGGGTGGATCTTGCTGTAGAGTCCAAGTCAGCGTATACAGATGAGTAAGTATCCGTTCAGTTCTTAGTTATAGATAAATTTCTCTATGGTTTCAAAGCCAATAATCAAAACCAGGTCATCTGATGTCATGCTTGTGTTTGCAGGGGTGATGATTGGTTCAACACCAGCCATGTGTAAGCATCTTATCTTTTCCTTCAGACTTGCTGTTTCATTTCAGATCCCTAAATTGACTAAAATTCCAGGTTCCATCAATCTTCTGCCCGTGAAATGATAGCTGCATTTTCATGCATTGGAGAGGTACGTACAGGTATGCAGCAACAATCTTCCCCAAAGCTCCCACCATCAGTGTCAAGATCAAGAGGTAAAGATTACAGAAACAGGGAATGGGTGCAAGGAAATCCAAAGTTAACCATAGATAATAAGCATCCTATCGTGAGCTTAAACAGTAATTCCAGCAGCACTAGTGATATCTTGTTAGCTTTGAGGATGAAACGTTGTGCCACACGACCGGCAGTGAGAGTAATGGGTAGTCACACTGACTCAGACGCTCAGAAGTCTTCCTCAAGCAAATCAAGCGTAGGATCCTCATACCCTCAAGTGGAGGATGGAAACATAAGCCAAACTAAAGACATAACCCCAGAAAGTAGACATGTCTTTAGACTGTCAAAGGTATGTTTTCTTCAAAGCAAACGTGTAATCAGTAACAAAATTTAGAAGTTGAAGACAACTGTTCATTTTCCAATTATGACGAAACATCACTGAATGCATAGAGCTTTAACTATGTTTAATGCAATGAATTTTATTTTACAAACATCTAGGGTACGTTTAGATCACAGTAATTACTAGGCCAAGAAAAATGAGGAAAATGAAGAGGAGAGTTGGAAGAAAAAGAAAATTTGAGGGAAAGTAAAAATTAGTCTCTGAATTCATAAAACTCTTCAGATATTTGTTAGTTTTATTTGTTTACTATATCTATTATATACAGAGTAAACACAAAGTAGTGGGCATATATGTGGACGCGCACGTGTGCATATGTTTTTCATTTTTCATAAAAAGAACCATATTTCGTTCTCCATAGCATTTATTTAAACCAAACATAGGAGAACAACTTTCCTTAGAATCTTTGTTTTACTTTCCCTAGCATTTACAGGATCCAAACATACCCCTAATAACCTGAGACAGATTACGAGTGACCTGCCTAAAAAATTTGTTGCTTGATTTTGTCTTCATCAGATATAGTGCTATAACAATTACCACATGGCAAAAATGGCAGGTTTTCTAAATTTCTACTTGATCTTGCAGGTTCATTATCATGCTCGCACAACACAACGAAAAGTTCTTCTTCCGAAAAGAGGCAGCATAGTTGTGGTTCCAAATGTGGTTTCAAAGGCTAATGAGAGCAAAGGAAGCGCATTCAAAAGACCTATGGCCAGAGGTAAGGAGAATGCACCATGGGCAATGTCCATGAGTCAGAATTTAAGCAGCAGAGAGAGGACAGGGGCTAAAATTAGAGTTCAGGCTCCTAAAGTTTCAAAGGAAAGAGTCATTGGAACTAATGCTAAATCAACACTGACAGCACTTAGAGGGCAGGCTCCCAAAGTTTCAAAGGAAAGAGTCCCAGGAGCTATTGCTAGAACAACACTGATAGGCTCAAAGGTAAAATTTTCTTTGTTTTCTCGTTATGGGTATGTTTGGATCAAGGGAAATGCCAAGAATAGGAAAAATATTGCTTAGAAATAATTTCCTTGTTTTTGGATTTACAAATGAAACCGATAATGATTTAGGGGTAATGTTTTTAATTCTTTTTAGATACGTTTAGAATGTATAGCCTTTTAACAAATTATAGAAATAAGTTAAGGTGTGTTTGAACAAATATTATAAAAACTATCGAGTTTCAATGAATTTTGTAATTTCTCCCACATTTCCTTCCAAATTTCCCTTTACTTTCTTTCTTCTATATTTTATTCCCCTTGCATTTCCTAATTCCCAAACGGACTATACTAGTAGAATACAAACACTTTGGAAGATTTAATGATCCTAGGGCTGAAGTATTTGTACTATCAAAGGAACCCAGAGTTGTGTTGACAAGTATTGACTTGTTACATTCATTATATAGCCACACGTGCTTTAGGCTGAGCAGCCTGCCTTGGTTATGCCTTGGCTGTTTTATTCAATTTTGTTTGCTATTTCTGTTCATATGGTGACTTCAACATCAAAATGTGCCACTATACTTCATGTTGCAGGTAGCACTAGAAAGTAGAAGGGAAGTGAAGAATCCCCCAAATATTGGTCGGAGGGTTTTCCTGAGATGAGAATGATTTGGTGATTGTTTCCTGCAATCTAAAAGAATGAATACAAACGCAAAAGACAGGATTCCTAAGTTTGTTTTGCATTTGCTACCATAACCATTGTCCCATTTTGATTGCTTCAGGGCAGTGGCCTTGGCATATCTTTAACATTATAAGAGAATCATCATTTCACTCTCATGTGAATACGGTGTTGGTAAGAGCATATATATTGTCATCATGTATGAATATCTGAGCTCCCTTTAACTACTTTGTCTTGGATTTTTTTTGTCGACTATCCCCATGGCTTATTTACTCCAAATCTTACATTCCATGCTCAGGGTGTTGCTTTTACTTTCAAAAGGGATTTTTAAAGTGATTTAGAGAAATTGCTTAATACTTCATAGTAAAAGTTGATAATGTTTTTGAAAGTGTTTTTTTTAAAGTAAAACTTCAATGTTTGGTGAATAAGTGATTTTTGAGTAATTGGAAAAGTGAAAAGCAGTTTAAAAATTCCTCCACTTGCTTCCATCTTTTAAGTTTTAAGTGATTAATTTAAGTAGAAAGTATTACCTCCGTCTCCGTAAGATTAGGACAAAGGAGAGTTGTGCGTGTGACACTCCAAAAATTAAAAAAAAAAAATAAAAATAAATAAATAAAAATAATTTTTAGCCAGATAAATCATAAAATATTGCGGAAGTGACATTTTAATTATTAATTGAGTCAGACAAAAATTCAACAGTTGTAACATTCTAATCAGATAAAAATTTCAAAATTTATGACGTCTTAGTCAGATAAAAATATTTCAGTAATAGGAACAACATTTTAGGAAACAAGTGAACCAGACAGAAAATTAACAATTGTGACATTTTTAGTCAGATAAAAATGGTCTAATATTTTATATCAAGTACCAATTATACATATGACATAAGAAGTAAAAGCTATATTTTTTTTTTACAAAACACAATTTCCATTTTTACTCCTAAATATATAATACTATACGTATTAAAAAACAATTACGTACTATATTTTTTTAATCAGATTCTAACCTACAGATTTATACTATAGGCATCAGTTACAAAACTAACAAAGGAAAAAAAAATTAAAAAAAAAATTATAACGGAGGAAGAATCCTCCAACGTATGAAACATTCAAAAAAAAAAATCTTAGGAGCAGGATTTTAGGATCTGAATCAGAAGCTTTACACCCAGCCATCTCTATAAATAGCAGAATCAAGTGCCTGGCCTTTCATCCCAAAACTTCCCGTCGGAAAACGCATACATATATATATATATATATATATATATATATATATATATATATATATATATATATATATATATATATATATATATATATATATATATATATATATATCTGAATTTTTCCAACCCATCGCTAGACTCAAAACCGAGCCCTGAAAACGCTTCCCAGACCTTCCCCTTCGTGAGAGGAATCCAACGGAAGAAGAATCATTGAAAACGATCGTGAAACGAGGGAGAAAACGCTCGCCGGAGTTTTCACCGGAAAACTTTCCCGACGGAAAACGGAGGAGCAGGAGCCGCCGTCGCCGACGAGGTAAGCCTCTTCCCTATTTTTTTTTCTTCTTTTCCACATTTTTCCGGCGAGTCAGATGGAGAAGACGACCCAGCCAAGGCTGGGGTCTGTCTTGGGCCTGATCTTTGGGCCAGAAAAATTAAATTTGGGCCAGTTCGGCCCAGTTGCAATAAAAATTAAAAATAAAATAGTAAATGAAATAAATAAAATCTGGAAAAATATAAATTAAATACCTGGTGTAATTATACATGTTCGGACCAACCAGAATTGAAAAATAATATTTTTAGCTATTTTTAATTGATTTAATGGTAATTGGGCCAATTTGTACACAATTAGTAAATAAATAAGTAAATGGCGAAATTAATTATGAAATAAATATTGGAGCAAACTAGGATAAATATAAGACTAACTAAGACATTATGGACCATTTATAATTAATAAAAATTAATATTAGTATATTTAATTGTAAATGGACCGGTTATTTGATATACGAAAATAAATGAATAATTAAGGAAAATGAATTATAAAATAAATATTTGGACAACCTAAGCCAAATATAGAACCAAAATGTAGTTATGAACGGTTATTAATTTATAAAGTCGTCTCTTGGCTATTTTATTAAATTGGACCATATAAAGCTAATTAAGTAATTAAATAATAAAATTTTTATTATCGATGAAATGAATTTATAGTTTAATATTCATTAAAGAATATTATATTAAAATAATTGTTTCGACTTGGTATCATGATTAGATTAAATAAATTGGTATATTTTGTTTTCACTAATTATTGGACTAATTAAGGTAGAGTAATATAAAATTTGCATAATTTCGGACTTTAAAATATTAAGTGTTTAAGTAATTAATAAAATCAGAATATATTAGTTAATTCAGATTTATTAATGCTAATAATGTTAATATAAACTAATTTCGATATTTGATTAGTTAGATTAAAAATAATTCGGATATAATATTAAGACATACCAAATGCTTTAGGAGTTGAGTAAATAAAAAGATGATTATTAAATTAGAAATTTGATATTGTAATTAATTAAATTCGTATGTTTTAGAATTTAAGTATTTTAATTAACGACGGAATTAATAAGGTAATTTAATTAATAAGAAGTGATTAACGCGGATAATAAAATAATTGAATTAGTGAATTCGAAAAATAAAATAAAAGGTAAAAATCGAGTAAAATAATTATTAAAGAGTAAGTGACTAATTATATCATCTTAATTAAAAAGATGATTATTTAGAGACCGGAGTAGAAGAAGAGAATTAGGAGCACCCGGACTAGAGGTAAGTTTCTCTGCCAATCTAAAATTATTTCCTCGTATTATATGCTTATTATGCATTATGTGAATAAGTGTGAATTGTTGAATTTTGTGTATGTGATTTTTGAAGAGATATTATATATATGGTAGTTGAGAAATATAAATTAAGTACTTTTAGGGTATTTAATATTTTTTAAATACCTTCAAGACTTTTTAGAGAAATTGAGAAGTATTTTTGAAGTATTATTTATTGAAGATAAAATTTACATTTTTATAAGAGGTGAGCATCACGGGAGAAATCCGTGGTGTCGGTTTTCCACGTCCGGATAAATGTGGAGGGTGATTAGGTCTGCTACTACTAAGAAGTACAGTTTGAGTTTAAAGTGATATTTGGATCGATGATCCCTTTTTAAGAAGAAGTTATGGTAGTAGTAGTCCCTAGTCATTCAAAATATCTTATTCAGGGGTAGTTGGTAGACTGAGTCCCGACTACTCGTTACGACTTACTACTCGGGGGGCTTGGAATCCCTTTTAGGGGGTGTGCACACTTAAGGTAGTCGTTTCGTTTCCAACAGAGCAGTTGTGGTACCGGCACTTGTTCGGGGTGGCCGTCCGTAACCACGGTCCACCGGGCTCTACCGAAAGGTTGAGCACCGCCCTTCTAAATTACTAGGAAGTTAGAGAAGAAGTGATTTTTGAGGAAATCAAAGAGAAGAGTTATTATGAAGTTTTATAGAGAAGTTGAGGATTTTTTTTTGTAAAGAAGTAGTCTTGATAAAAATCAAAGTGAAAAGAATTTCGATGGTGTGAGTATTTTTATATATTATTATATAAAAATTCTATTTTTGTCAAACATGATTATTTTACGGGGTTGGGTAGTACTTACTTAGCTATAAAGCTAATTTTTGTTTTCTTTTCCTTGTTTTGTTTCTGCACTTTATTTGTGCAGGTGAGGATGATGTTGTCGAGTGATGATTGCTTGCACGGCCGAGAGCGAGTTAGAAGTCGCCTTAGTTATATTAGTCATAAAATAAACATTTACTTTTCGAACACTTTACTCTTATTAAATTAGTTGTTATGTTTTTAGTTGCCTGTGCATCCGGTTGAGAGATGACCGGATGTGGCGGTAACACCCATTTCCCTATTTTAGACTTCCGCTGTATTTCTTTAAATTTTCATTATCAATAAATCAAAGTTTTATTTCAATTATATCAACGTTTTGGGTGGGAAATTTGGGGGTGTTACAAATTGGTATCAGAGCCAGGTTTTGGTTTTCCCGAGAGGACTAGAACACGAGGTAATAGGTCGTAGGGAGAAATTCTGTCACAAAGACGATAACAGTCTAAGCTGGTTGGTGCATAATTGAGTCTTTGCGCTCGTCCAACCAACTGGGAATTTCTCCTTGTGCTGAAACTTCGTTGTTCGAAATCTTTGACGAAAACTATGGGTTTGATGCGGGATTTTCAAAAATGTTTTCCTAAAATTAGGAGAATGAATATACTAGGAAAGAGGCCTTTTAGGAACGCGGTGAGAGGGAGAAACCTTGCGAAGTTATTGAGTTATGAAATGCATGGGATTCATGCCTCTGTGAAGTATGTGAAATATTTGATACACTATGTGTACTATTTGTTCTAAGAATCTGAGGTTAGTAGAGAATTTGTATAGAATCCTTATGTATGCATTAATACTTAGTACGGGCTTTTCTTTATTAAGAAACATGCCGCCAAGAAGAAACCCCCATGCGACCCCAACTGTTGAGGAGTTGGCTCAAACTATTCAGCAGATGGCGCAACACATCGGAGCAGCTCAAACCCATAACCAAGGGGTTGACTATGCAGCGCGCGTAGCCGGAAGGAACCCCCCAAAATACCTGGGGGAGGAGGATCATCTGATTCTAGAAGACTGGATCCGAACCTTCGACAAGCTCTTTGATTCGCTCAACTGCCCGTTAGAGCAGCGGGTAAACATAGCGGTGTACTACTTGCACCAAGAGGCGGATCATTGGTGGGCTGCCACCGGGACAACTCTGCTCGAGCAACCGGAATTTTGTTGGGAAGACTTCAAGATAGCCCTACGCGACCGTTTCTATCCAGACCATGTGAAAGAGGCAAACTATGATGAGTTTGTCAACTTCAAGCAAGGAGATTTAACCGTCCAAGAGTACCACACGAAGTTTGTCCAACTGGCCCGCTTCGCCAAGGAGCTGGTATCTACTGAGGCCAGCATGACCCGAAGATTTGTGAATGGGCTGAACTTTGGCGCCCAAAAGTTCGTAACCGTGGCAGAGCCGCGAAATATGAATGAGGCGTACCGGAAGGCCGGGAAGTACTACATGGTACATCAGAAGGAGAGGGAGGCGCAGAAGAGAGACCGGAAGATTGCCGAGGTAGAACAGCAGCACAAGAAGGCCCGAACTGACCGCCCAGAGCCAAGACAAAACAACCAAAACGGTAGAACCTTCCAAGGCCAGGGTCAGGGAAGG